CCGGGTGAGTACCCTAGGTGAACTCCCTTTCTGCTCGCTTTATGGGCGGATATCTGCCATGTAAGTGCTCAGTACACTCTATCAGCCTTTGTAAACTGTGGGTACGGAGTGTTGAAGAGTCAGGACCTACCATTATTCTTTGGTAGATCTGTCTCTCTCTCTAGCTTCACTGCTGCCTTAGGTGCTATCAATGTATTAACGGGGCCCAGGTACGTCCTATAACTCCTCTAAAAATGTATCTTATGCTGCAGGTCGCATGGTGCGCCGTCCCCGCCGCTCCCCGCCTGTCTGTTGAGGTCCCTTTGTCCGGTGAGTTCCTCTTATGCCCACAAATCCCCCCTTAGCCCCCACCCTCCTATAGTCCTATTCCTCGTCGAAATATGTATATAAAACTGATATTCAAGCTTTATTGTCCCTCAGGAGCACCACTAAATCGGAAATTTCGTTTTGTTCAGCATGTATGCCCCAGACATACATAGATATCAAGGGAATGGACCATATTGGTCCCTTATATGTATTACCACTATACATCATCGGCGATGTAGAATATAATGACAATTTACTGAATTTTATACGATTTTATTCGAGGTGCTACACACTACCTATTGTCGACGTCGTCGGGAACAGCGACAACCAGCGTCGGGCACAGCGGCACTGTGATGTCATCGTGTTGGTGGGCGCCATCAGTCCCCTTTTGGCAGCTGTCTATTTTGGTACGTCGGTCCACGCGACGCTACGGCTGGGGCCAGTGCTACCGCCGGAGTCTTCTGGAGGCTCCGTACTCTACTACCCTACAAGGCTGGCGGTGTTCCTGGTGCTTCCGCCGGAGTTAGGAGAAACATCTTTTGAGTCTTATAAGCGTGGACGCGCTGCTCGATCGTCCACTCTTATAAGCCTTGTTCTTTGGGAAGGTCAGGTGTGACTCAAAACTTTGTACATAAGGGTTTTATGTAAATACAGAAAAAAATACCCAAGACTGCTTTATGAATACTGCCCCGTATGTAGACATATGTGAATAAATTTTGAGTAACCCAATATGAAGTTATGAGACTTCTACGAAATTTGAGAAGCTCTGCACGTGCACCTACATGACTATCCAGGAGGATTCAGGGTAACTGGCCATGGGATTATTCTATTTGGCAACCCCCCGTTGATACACCCCACTAGGTTCTGTTCGCGGAAGCAGCTCTGCCTTCGCCTCTACTGTCCATATAGCAGGTTCCTATCGCTAACTATCCATCGCCCTCCATCAGGAAAACCCTCCTAATCTAGTTATATCTAATTATGACTAATCCTGCATAATTATGCAGGATCAGCTGCATTATGTAGTTCTATCTAATTATACAAGTTAGGTTTGTCCCCTAGCTAATTAGACATAATTATCACCAATTAGACAGCATCATCTGCTGTTAGATGGCCATTATGTCGCAAGCATATCACATCAGCTCCAGGAATAACACAAGGAGCATGGAGATATATTCACAATGTAGCTACAGACAGGCATGTAGCTACACTTTTCTGCCTCATCGGCCTATCACTTCCCCACAAAGCCAGCTCTGAAAACTGTCAATGGCAGATCAGGACAAGAGAAGCCACCAGCAAAGCATGGGTATGGCAGACCATGCAACCATCAGAACACACCTTGATATGAGACACTGCAAATCACCTGAATATAGGCCTGGGCATGAAGAAATATAACCTATTGTATACAGTATCATCAGCCACCAGCACCGCACGGCAAGGAGCAACAACTTACTCAAGGCAGATTATGCGCAGATGCTCCACACCGGGCAAGGCTGTGCAAGACATGCATGTACATGCCAGACACTTCAGGCATGGACACGACACATCCAGGCAAGGGCCGGGGGCAGCAAAAGCACAGTGGTGACGGCAAGACATACCATCAGAGACCACAGCAATAGCTCAACAATGTTGAGTACGTACCTCTCCGATCAGCTCTTGAGTGTCTATAAACCCACATGAGCAGGCCCGCTAGTGAGTCCATCAGCACATCCCCGAGTGTCTACGGTTGTGCGCCCTCCTCGAGGAGGTAGCCTGCACCCTGCATTGCAACCAAACCAACAAATCAGTGTATGGCACACAGGATTTGTCGTGAACTGACTGTACTCACCTTAAAGGGTGCACATATAAAGTGGGGTGCAGGCAGGAGCTGACTGACACTTCATTGAGCACATATCATATTCGCAGGATTAAGTAGGATGCGGTCACTGGAGCAACAGAGATCCGGAATGCCACAGGAAGGGCACCAGCAGCCATTAAAGAAACCCGTTGTCATGAGACTTTGTTGCACAGCAGAAATGACTGAACGTACCAAGAGAAGTCACCCGCAACATCCTGCATGAATCAAGACCCATGAGCATAGACGAGCCCGCGCACGAGTTGGCGCATGACCATGGAACTGAAAAGTTCCTTGCGCGAGGGGGAATGTAACGGACGCAACGACGGCAAGCGAGCCAGCGAAGAAGGAAAATGAGAGAGTACTATCATTGGGGGGGTTCTGTAAAAGTCAGATTTTTTACAGAACTCCGAAATCTCGAGAAGTATGCTACAGGGAGCTTAGCGGGTTGGTAAGTATATGCATTGTATACCATACAGATGGTCTGTGAAGTCAGAATTGCCTCAAGTTGGCCCCTTGTCGTATGGGAGGTTGAACACCGTCCAAAATGCCCACTGTAACAGGTCTGGTGGCCACTTGATGGGTAGATCTGCCAGCCTACACAGCCCCGGCATATATCAGCTTGCCTAGAGGAGGTGTTTCTTGTATGTGTAAACCTCCTGCGCCCACCCGATAATAGCTGCAGGCTTGTGAAGTGCCCGTATGATAGATTTTACAGAACTCCAAGGGCCCAAGGGCGTGACAGATGCGTGACAGACGCGCGCGGATCGGATAGTGTTACCCCGCGTGACGTTTTTACATTACTCCCCGCAAGTGCTGTCTGTCTGCGGCATCTCTCTGTATTACTCTGTACATAGTGAATCGAGATCATTCTTTTTGCAGATGGTACTTAGGAAGGTATACTATGATGCCTGAGTGAAATAACATGGAATGATGAAGAAGGTAGCCCTTGGCCGGTCATATTGTCAAGTTTTTACAGAACCCCCCCAATGATAGTACGCGAATGTCAAACACGGCAAATTGAATCGGAGTTCAAAACGCGATATCAACAGCATCATGTGACCGGCTACTTGTAACCGGATTACCCGGCTCTGATGAGAAAGCGCTAAGTCTGTCTGATTCCACAGATTTTGGCACTGAACTACTTTTCTCATTGACTTTGAGAGCCTCTCAGGAACCTCGCGTGCACATACAGACTTCCTCGCATGCCGCCGAGCATGTTGTGGACGACATCATGCAGACCGCAAATAAGCCTGGAGCCCAGAGCTACGATACAGGTGGAATGGGGAGTACACAACCAAGAGCGGTAAAACAGCCAAACAATCAGTAAAGGCGCTACAAAGCGAAGGTCCAAGTAATCACAGCCAATCACAATCAATCAATTGCAATCCCTACTGCACAGACACATAGCGTGCAAAAATCAACCACCAAAATACAAAATTCACATGGTAACAAATAATCTAATCATCGAAATACACAGCAACCACAATACTTGCTGAAACAAAACAGTACAACACACCAAAAAAAAAAAAAACAAAGCAAATACACATAAACATGCATCCAACACACAAAGCACCGAACAATAAGTCGAACATAGCAAAGCACAAAGGTATCACCCGATGCCCAACAATGACATAGCACGACCGCTATTCTGATTACACGCACTCAAGTTGTGTCATAAGTAGACAGCAGCCAATCACAGCTATCTAATCCCAACAGGCGCGGCGATATGCCTCAGCCACCGACTACAAACCGCCACAAAAGTCAATTCCCACGGTAAGAACATGCCACAGATGACAACGAGCATGCAGGAAAAGACGGAGGTACGATAAAATGCTCAAAATATTCCAGTGGATGGATGACCCAAAAAACCTCTTTGTAGAAGAAATCACGGAAATACACCGAAAACTCAGGACGAAAACACAGTATTATTGAAAACAGAGACTACAAATCCGATTTTGTAGTCTTTTTATAGTCTCCAATACTAGTGGACTTTAAAGCGGACATTAAACAGTGTAGTCAAGACTACAACCAAAAAGTCGCACGCATTCTTGGCATTGCGATTCCCACGGGGTACAACATTCGGCATGCACCCAATTTTGCAGGTAAGGACTCATCCTTTGTAAACTCAGGACTTGTAACCAATATATAATATCCCCTTATCACCTTATCAGTCGGGGCTGCGGCGGACCTCCCGACCACGCGCGACACAGCGCGAGCTCGCAAGCTCGAACCCGACCCCCGAAAATCCAACAGTGGGTGCATATGCTGGCCCATCGATATCCATGCAGTGCAGCTGCCTCAGCAGGGTCTGGAGTCTGAGCACCCATTCTCTTAGACTGTCCTTCTGAGCCAGGTATATCAACCCTCCGCCAGGTTACGCTCTGTATCGTGTACAGCCTGCTAGTGATGCCGCGGTCTGGCTTGGTCCGGTTATTGGCCCAAATTTCCAGACCTGGGACTGGACCCAAGGTCCAGTTCGGGTAAATGACTGGACCGTGAACCTCAAAGAACCCGAAATGGCATTGGGTCCAGTCAGGTTCGGGTTCGAACCCTTCAAAATTGCCATATTTAGGTACGGTTCGGGCATTGTGGCTCCACCTGGACCTCATTTCAGGTTTGGTCCACCCCAAAGCCGGACCGCGGACCAGAACCTGGGTCCGGTCCGAGGTTCGAACCGGTTCTCCCAGGTTCGGGAACCGGACTGCGGCATCACTACACCCTGCACGCCCACCACTGTCTTAACAGTGACGCATCTTGTGCACGCCGGCAGCCACACCGTGACCGCCCAGGCCGTCCGTAATCGCTGCTTTTCGGCGAGTCCCGAGCCATCAGTCACATCAGTCACAGGTTTGAGAAACCCCTCTGAACTTTGTAACTTCGCAGGGGTTTCCAGTGAAACCCGGGTTCTTCTGTGGACGGGGGGTTGCCAAATAGAATAATCCACTGGCCATGGCATGTCAAACAGTCAGTGTACAGGATTCGAGCTTCACCGATTTAATTCCAGCATTTTATACATACATGGAGTCTGAGTACGGAGTATTCAAGGGATATGACACGTTCTCGCCCTTTAATGAGCCGGCTACTGTTCCTACAATGCCTCCACAGCACCCTTACTCTACGGACATCTCATGGGCCGATTTTCGCTATTCCTTCACTACCACATTTTTTTCTATATTTAAAACCCTTATGTACAAAGTTTTGAGTCAATCCAATCCCTGCCGCAGGTGCTATGGATTTTTCTTGTCTGCAGGCCATCTCGCGCCTCGCAAATACATATATAGCAGTAATTCCAGGTTCACCTGCAAAATAGCACCAACTAAAAGTGCCGACGGTATGAAATGGCCACAGATCCACCTCAGATCCCGATGTTCCTGAAGCGTCGTTCCAAGATCCAACGCCCGATACCTCATTCCGCAGCTGTTGGCTGTGGCGGCCACGGCCTCTGCCCAAGAACCAGTGCTTCAGAGGCCGCTGCAAGCATGGTCAACGACATGCATGCAAGGCAATCCGAGTGATCAAGCAGCTCTGAATTCCTCCTGGGTCCTCATCCCTCTCGACTTCTACCTTTCCACGAGCTCTTTGAAAGGAGTCCACAGCGACCGAACTAATGAACAGCTGACAAGATCGACTTGTTCGCTATAGACAAAAGTGTAATGGGCCGGTCAGCATTAGGGGACCCTAATAGATAACCGAGCCATGGAATGCCCGCATCTCCCGTTCTGCATGACTGCTGTCCATATCTACCAACCGCCGGCCAGCTGCTGTCGAGTGAGTACACAGTCTGTCAGTTAGCACGTTCAGCACCGATAATCGCTCATTGCAATAGCGCCCAATCGTTTTCTTGCGAGCGCAGTCGAACATCCAACATGAAATCTCTGTCGTCCTTTGTCACTGCGTTCAAGAACAGGGAGGTGACCCGGCGTAAATCCGCCCGACAAAGCACGCGCGAACCAGAGGAGTTCATCTCCTATCTACCTGGAACACAGGAAGTCTATCCGCAGACCAAGCCCCACCACGCCACCCGTGCAAGCAGGAGAGCCTCTGGAAACACTTTACGCAGCGCGAGGAGCGTACCAGCCTTCCGCGACGATCGACCGGGGACAGCACCAGCGTCCACATCGTACAGACCTCGCGATGCGGTGCACGGGCAGTGCGCTTTGACCATGTCGAATGGGATAAGTCGCGCGTCACAGGATGTGGACACTTGGCTGCCTGCACCTACGAGATGCTGGTCTCCGTTGACATTTGATGGATCTCGAGTTCAGGGAAGTCGTTTCCTGGAATCTTTCCTAAGCACCACCTCGGAGAGGGATTATTCGGAGGGCGTAGCTATTCCTCCTCACCTCGACCAGCGCCCTCGTGCTCGCACTGGTTCCTCAGCGCAGACTCCCCCGAGCCATCAACCTGTCATCCCAATCATCGTACTCTCGGACGATGAAGATGTCGCAGGATCACCGGGCCGCCTTTTGGAGCCGGTTGGCAACTGCTACGCTGAATGTGTCTCTGACTTCCTAGATCTCGGAGGAAGCAACGAAAATGACGAGGATGACTGCGAAGAACCGGAAAACAGATATACTGTTGGGACAGGGCTTCCTGAGGGAGAGGCAGGGCGAAGACCTCGCACTGCATCCACCACCGCTTCCCATGAATCACTGCTCTCCATCAGATCAAGCACTCTCTCGAAATGCTCGAGCGCTTCCAAGGATATCACATTAGAGATGTTCCCCACACCTCCCCCGCTCATTGTCCCTCCTCCGCCCCGCGGCCTTCCTCCCGCGATACCTTTGCCATTTGGGACGAAACCCCGCCCCTCCACGGCCGACGCCCTACGGCAGAGACCTCATACCAATCGACCAAAGGAACTCCGGAAGTCCAAGTCAGCAGGGCAGCTTGGATGATCCGGACGACAGCAGCCTCGATTGCTTGAATGGGAAGCCGACCTTCCTCCGGAGAAACCTGCGGAGACCACGCATACAACTTCGTCCTCTATAATAACAAGGGATTCGACACAGAGCGACTCGCAAGCCGGCGGTTGTGATACTTCCTCGACGTCGACCGACTCCGCGCCTAATACGCCGTCACCACGCTCCGGCTCTTTCCCATATCGAACAGAAGTCCTGGCTGCGACTGAGGCCAATCATATGATGGAGCTCGTGCTTGCCACCCATGAGTCAGTGAAGGAGCGGAGACGGATGAGTATGTTGTCAGTGTCGGAATGTGGGAGCATACGATGGGGAGTGGCGGTCTAGATGGCGCGCCCTCGTTCGTGGTACTATAAATTACCGCCTGTGATATCACAATAGCCTGTAGCAACATATCACCGGATATCAAGATTCGTCACTAGCAAGAGAATGGGTGCTGCCTGCCTCGTAAGACTGACTGAACACTTACAGGTGGAACAGGACGCCTACGTGCGCAACCTCATTGCTTCTTCTTCGTGTCCTTTGGTACATCCGGAGGGACTGACGCGGGAGACTTGTCTTCCAGTATGGAGAGGATAATATATGTCACTAGAACGACGTTGGCCGCGAAGACGGCCGTGATTGCAGCGTAATTAGAGTTTCCTGAACCGAGTGAATTAGTCTCCATCTTCGTGTGGAACATAGGGAACAGCTCACCATTCCAAACGTATCTTTCAGAGAGAAAATACGATGAAATAGGGATGATACCCAGGGAAAGACTGAACAGGATCAGCTTAGTGAGGACACCACTGTTTACACAACCATTGTCAGCGAATGGTCCGCTTTATCTATCAGAAGAGGCAGACCCTTTGGCTGCCTGGTCTGTTATATTTGCAGGTTTAGCTTGTTCGCTCATTGGTGATTGCGCGATCGACGTAAGGGGAAGGGCGAGCTCGAGGAAGTATCAGATTGATCGCGACGCGTCGACGACTCGAGCTAAGACTCGACCGTGTCTTGCATTTAGCCACAGCCACCAAGTTTTATCTTGTACTGAGCCCTCTTACTTGCCCGCTCTATATTTTCCTCATAACTGGAAGGGCGAAGACTGAGGTAACCCGTATAATCTTACACACAAAGTCTCAGATTCCAATTATTGAACGTGTTGCTGGGATCACCCGCTTGTGATCACAGCTTATGTCGTCACCTCTACGCTGTCGGACTCATGTACAAGCAGGTCGCCGTCCCGAGGAAATCCTAGAAGAGGAACCCAAAGGATTGGATGATATCGAACCAAAGAACCCTTCTTCGTGGTGGCATCTGGATGCGTCTGCTTCGGAATGGGATATCTTCATCCTCTCGACATCATTGAAGCTCCTGCTCTTCCCAGCATAGTATGTTGATCCTACAGCATATGTTGCACGCATGATTCTGAAAGAATTTACACTCCGTAGTCGTTCTACGGATTTCGAGGTCCACCGGAATTGGTTGGCAATAACACATTCTCTGCCCTTGTCTCAATGGTACTACGATGTGAGTCGGGGGCATCCAAGCATCGGCGGTATCTCACATTTGAATAGACCACCTCAGAGTGGAGTAAGCTCAGCGTTATATACAATGAATGCCGTCTGAGTGCCTGCCATAGCCTTGGACTATCCTCCGTTCTTTGCTTACTTCGAGAAGCTACTCTCGATTCCAGCAGCCTTCATTGACAGGCGTATAGTCGATTTGAACAACCTGAACTACGGCGCTTGGTCGGTCGTGGCTTATCAACGTACCACTGTGATCGTGGCGGAGTTAGTCCTGGCAGCGGTCGCGTTAAAGTAACTTGAGGATTTCCCTTACATGATGACCACTACTGACGCGATTTCAGGTTTGTTCGAGGGGCAGTGGACCCACTCATGCAGAGAATCGTGTCTGCTTCACTAGTTTTGCATCCAGGGTTCCTCATTGTGGATCATATACACTTCCAGTACAACGGGTTTATGTTCGGTATCCTACTATGGTCGATTTACATGGCACGTCAAGTGAGTTACCTCCCGAAAAGCCTGCCACTCCCCTCATTATGCCACGCAGGGAGACAAACTAGCCAGCGGATTTCTGTTCGCCGTTCTGCTTAATTTCAAGCATATCTACATGTACTTGGCTGTACGTCTTCTCTGAACTGTCCAGTTGTCTGCTCTCACGGTGCACAAGTAGCCAGCCTACTTCGTATATCTGCTACGCTCTTTCTGTATGTCCCCTCAAGGACAGCTGCTCCCCCGCAATTTCCTGTTGCTAGCCAATATTGTACTGGTCGTCTTCGTGGTCTCCTTGGGTCCCTTCATCTTGATGGGGCAGTTGCCGCAACTACTCTCGAGGTTATTCCCATTCACTCGGGGCCTTAATCACGCTTATTGGGCGCCGAATGCTTGGGCCCTCGTTACAGCCGCTGATCGAGTCCTTCTGCATAGTAGGTGGTCGTCTTTAATCTTCTGACTGAAGCTCACTATTCTCAGTCGTCAAGCAAACTGGAGTCAAGCTTGCTCTGAATGCGTCCGGCGTGGCTTCGACATCTAGGGGACTAGTCGGCGACACAGTCTTTGCTGTGTTGCCAAACGTCAAGCCTATACATACATTCTTAGTCACATTGCTATCCCAAACGGTAATGACGAAAGTACTTCGTGTTCCTGCCAGTCCTTCACGCCTTCTCTGCTAGGTATTCCTTGTGAAACTATCGCGCGTGCCTACGTACAAGTCCTTCCTCGGAGCTCTGACTCTCTGCGGATACACGTCTTACATGTTTGGCTGGCACGTACACGAGAAAGCCATTTTGCTGGTCTTGGTACCACTAAGGTGGGAGCGGGATGAACCACGCTGACTATCCCCGCTAATGAATACAGCAGTCTACTTGCTCCCGAAAGCTACGCTTATTTCAGAACGTTTACCATTGCCAGCGCCGCTGGCGTCTTCTCGCTGTTCCCATTGCTTTTCACCCCTGCCGGTGCATTATCCATTTCTTGGACTGTTTGGACGCAGCTGACGGTGGGGTGAACAACAGAGATATTTGTCGAAGTTCTGTGCAGCATTCTCTGGGCGACCTTGATTTTCGTGCCACTCAATCGGCGTCTGTACGAGTAAGTCAGCGCTATCCAACTATTAACCTTGTATCTGATCGATTCTTACGAGATTTCCGAGATCCCTGCCATCTGTAATAATGGACCTGCTGGAGAAGCTATACCTCGCCGGCTTCCTATTGCTGCAGGTACTCGTTATGGCCCTTCCGGCCTTGGAGGCGTGGATTACAGGCGCAAGGCAGGCAACCGGAGCCACAAAATGCATTGCGGGGGAGTTCTCTTGTCCGGAACCAGATCCCGCACAGATTACGAAGTCGGAGGCGTCCAACCTCGCCTTCCTGCCCCTTATGATGACCAGCGTTTACTGCGCTGTGGGTTTAGTCTGGGCTTTCCTACGCTTATCGTTTATATATCTCAGACAGGAGTAAATATTCGTGGTGTTCAAGGGTGCTCCATCAAGGCTAGACTTATACACTATAGCTACAAAATGACAACGCTTGAACTCTTCTTTACTTCTTCACAATATGGACGACTGCCGAATTGCTGTATTAGCACATTTTTCACGGATGGTAGTTTACCACGCACCGTCTTCATCCTCGAGCACATGGTCTAACCCGACCTTTTGCCCTCGCGCATGCTTAGCACTCGAACCCCACACAATGGCGCTGTGAGTAACGATTAGACTCAACCAATTGAGCGACGACGACTGGGGCGCACTATTTCATCTGTTTCGCTATTTCCTTGTGGATCGAGTTGCAAAAATCTTGCACTGTGCTGCGTCCACGGCGGAGTACAACAGGCTGGGAGTAGTCGGGAGGAGCCTTGCGCGGCTTCGTGTATACTCGAACAAGGTCAAGCCGCTCCCACATTCTGTCGATAAGTTCATCGATATTCAACCATTCTTTCGATGATATTGGGACGCTGTGAGGAATTTTATATCTGCAGTGGAGAATGGGAAGTTAAGTCAAGGTTTGAATCCACCCAACCGACATACAGCAGGTCAAGTTCTTCAATTGAAATAGCATCAATCTGAGGCAATCCGATCAGCACATATTTTCAGAATAGCGTCTAATGACGAACCTTGTTCAGCACCTAAGGAGTGTGGGATGGTGACCATCAGCTGCGACACCTGCCATGAAATACACTCACGTATATGGCGGGAATGTACACTCTGAATTATGGGATGAAATATTTTCCTATAGTGACTATACAACAACCGCAGCGGACGTACCTGTTGCCTTCTATGACGTCCACGAGGTCGTCTGCCGTAGCGTTGGGCTGCCGAATGGCGACGTCACAATTGCTAAGCTTGTACTCGCTCAGTATCGCTTTAATCTCATCATGATCGATGTTTGTGAGGGGGACAGTATTCGTGATCGCGATGCCGCCTTTATCCTTCTTCCGCACAGTAATGGCGGGTGGTTTCTTATTCAGTCGGATTCCAAAGCCCTCCAACTCTGCTTCGATGATCCTCTTGTCGTTAAGAGGCTTCAGGACGTCGAGAACAATGAAAATGAGGTTACACGTTCGAGCGACTGCGAGGGAGCGTAGTGCCTGTATTCAGTAACCACGGTTTTCAAGTATTCGCCACAATTCATACCGGCAATGACTGAGCTACGCGTAAGTAATGATTCAGACAATGGCGAATCATTGAGCGAGCGTACCTTGTCTTCCTCTACCTCGACCATCATTGGCACCTTCAATGATACCGGCTGCGACGATAGAAAAGCCTTAGCATAGTCACACAGTGAAGCGGAGGAGGAACTGACGTAAATCCAGAATTTGTATGGGTGCGCCATGCACTTTCAGTGTACCAGGCACTGTTGTGAGGGTCGTGAAGTCGATGGCGGACACTTCGGAGTGGGTGCCCGTCAATTTGGACATCAGGGTGGACTAGGGAACGTCAGAACCATGCCTCAAGACCCGGCCATGCATGCATGCAACATACCTTTCCCACCGAAGGAAATCCGACAAACCCCACAGATGCTACACCGGTTCGAGCTACATCGAAGCCTACGCCTCCCCCGCCTCCTCCACCTCCACTTGTGGGATCAAGAAGGTCGCGCCGAAGTTTTGCGAGCTTCGCCTTGAGTTGGCCCAAGTGATAACTTGTGGCCTTATTCTTTTGCGCTACACAGCCATTGGGGTGAGTTTTGCTGCCTAACAGAGGGCACCGGTGGACATACTCCTGGCCTGCAAGAGGTATATTCAGCATAGGCCAAAGCACACAGTGCAATTTAGGTACCATTTCATCTTCGATTTCCTTCGTATCATTACTGTTAGAATGGTTAAGAACAGTGAATAGCAAGACCTCACTTTGATCTTTTGCAAGGTCGTCATTGTTGCGGTTAAAGGTTGTGTATCCCGAAATGGAAATCAACCAAGCAGGCGCAAAGCGCGCTAGCCATCCGTGGACCGTGGCACTGGCAACAACAGCCACTACCTTCCAGTTAGCCATAGACCTCGCCCTGTTCTCGCCGTCGCTCTCGTCGTCTGCACCGTCCAGTCGCTCTTTGACACCTCTCTTTACTGTGTATGACGCTGGCTGGCCCTGCTACAACACTCCAAACCTCGACCTCACCTGCGTTCTTTAACTAAACACCACAAGCGACTGCGGACCACAGCCTTCGCCCATCGCCCATCTCCCTGCGTCGATATGTGTGGAGGGCCAGCATGGAAGAGAGAAGCAGTACTAGACCACAAGGTGCGCTACAATGAGTTTGGTGCCTTCACTTGCCCTAAGAGGGATTTCTAGTTCGACTTCGTGGACGTCAGAGAATTCACAGATAATGGCTTTGGCATGCGAATGAAGTATGTGCTACTCCTCTTCACTACTGTCCTTTGAATTTCCCTGAGCCTGGTGGATTTGGGTCACCGCTGTTGTTACTGAGGCGTTCGTCTCGTTCGGCCTACCCGGAGGCTGACATGTCGTTGACAGGTATCTCTGGCTCTACGTAGTCGTGCTCAAGTCCTTCCTCGTCTACGTCTCCGATATCTTCACCGCCGTCACCATGTTGACCACTGACGGTTGGTCCAACGAGACGTTGGAAAGCTGTGAGCACCAGCAGAATAGCAACTGCCTCAACATTTCGTTCTCAGTTGGCAAGTGGATATTCGTCGGGTGCATCATATTTTCCTTCTTACTTGTGAGTCCCATTCCATTGATGTTAGCACAAGTAGCTGAGATTTTATCAAATAGCTGGCATACGAGGCGCGGAAGTCGAAGAAGATCGTTGCTAGTCGGGATATCTCCTACGCCTTCACCAACATCATGGCACAACACTACTACTCTCTGAGTGAGCATTATGTCCATGACATGAGTTGTACACTGATCTGACTCTGTTACTAGGATCATACGATCACTTCTGCTTTTTCGATCACTTGAGCAACTCTACCAAAAGATCCGACGACTTTGCTTTCTGGATCTTCTTCACATTCAAGAGTAAGTTATATGATCGGCTGGTCATTGACATATTTACCCAAATACTCTCTCCAGCGTGGAAGCAGCTCCTCCTTGCCGATGGTCCCCGCCAGACCATAAATGCCATCACCTTGTACGAGTTCTACCAGAGTAAGGCGGATGACGGAGATTGGTACGATGTGGAGAAGTATTTCCGCGGGAACAAGAACATTTCGACCAGTATCCTCACCGTCACGACACTGTTCACTGTGGTCATCTTTCTCTTCGGTTTGGTCCAGCTTATCTTGGCCGGTATCGCGTACGTTCCCTGGCTGTGCTATATCCGAGGTAACTTGAAGGTATGACAGACACATCTAAGTGCTGTAGCGTCCATGTGTACTGACCGTAATTCGAATCAGGAATACGTGTGTCACAAGGTCGACAAGGTAAGTTCAGGCATATCCCAACGTGATCCATGCGTGACTGGTCGTATTTTAGCGTATTGCTGAGGTTATCAGGCGACGCAACAAGCAACGTCTGGCCAAAGCCCAAGCCCTGGCTAAGAAGGAGGCGGCTGGTGACTTCTCTCATCTCAAGAATAGCAAGGGTGAAATAGTGAAACAATTGCCTCAGCCTACCTTGCCCAACATCTCCCTCGACGACGATGAGGATGATTCCTCGTCGATGCGCACCCGCGTTCCTCCCAGCCAGTACACCGCTCAGAACGACTACTATTACCATTCTGATTATAAAGCCGAGTACGACTATCCACCCATGCCGGCCTACGGAAATCAGTATCAGGGTGCTTATGGTGCCTACAATCAATCCGCCACTACCTTTGCCGATGACCAAAAGATGTACGATGACGACTACAGCAGCACTCACCATCTAGCCCTCGGTGCTGCACCCTTCGCACATCAGAACGACAGTCGGCCCTCATCCCTACCCGATCCATACGCTACACCTCCTCAGCATAATGGCTACATGGCGGAGCCGTGCGACGTCTACGCCGGGACTGCTCAACCCATGCATTATGCATCTCCAGACCAACATATGGGTGCGCCGTCTTACGAAGAGGCTACCCAGGACTATCCTAGTCCAACATCCGGCGGCCCTCCGCCCAGGTCACTTTCGGCGCAGATGTCGCAACTTCAATACAATGACCAGCACGGGCACCCAGGACATCAGCAGGGGTCCGGGCAGGGCGGAGGAGGGTACGCCTTATAGATAGCTGGATGGACAGGTGGTACGCCTTCTGGCAGGCTATGCTTGGTATCTTGTAGCGCCTTGCTTACGCTGTTCCGCCTATCATCCTTGTACATACCTTGTGACCATAGTCTTCCCCTTGTCTACTACCAAATAATCGTATTTCGGTGATTCATTGAGACTGATGATACGTAAACACACCCAGCTGATGACCTTGCCGGTGGAGCGCCGCTGAGTCCAAAGCAGCTCGGAGTGTGGCTGCAGCACTTCCGAGATCGAACGGCGCGATCCAACCAGCCCCCGTTTCAAGAAAACATAACATGATCCGGCAATGGTGCCCTTGACGATCTTCGAGGCATGACGTTGTAGGTATGTTTTGCACACCAAATCCTCTGATGTTGTGTGATAACTCGGTCGCTTCATTCAGCCAAACACAGAGGCGCCAGTAGGCGTCCCCCATGTGCCTCTGTAGCTCCACAACACTCAAACTTTCGAGGGTTCTCATCTTCCGAACACGGCTGCCATACGGCATCATGTCTACAGTTTGTTATTTCTGGCATCGAAGTCGAACCGGACTGCCGAGGGCAGTCACGACTGACAGGTATATAAGATCAGGGATGCAAGTACCATGTCCCTCGAAGGAACGTCTCTCTGTGCTCCTCTTCCTTGTTTCGACGTCTTGTACATTCGGGTCTGCCTTATCACGGAGCGATTCATTATTAGTGTCCAGAGGCTTTCACTTTTCAGACGTCTTTACCCCCTGTATCCATCATGTCGCGATCACCCTCCCCTTCACCGAGTAAATCCAAGGATACCACAGACTGGCGAGTCGATGATGCTACGGACACGCCCCCTTCCGAGTTCGAGGCGGAAGTCACGTCCCATCTGCCCACTTTAAGAGGCCGCAGGCTAACCGCTGCCCTGGCCGTTGTAGCTGGGACAGGCTTCACGCTATTCGGGTTTGTACATTCCCTGGCGAAGCGCAAATACCACTAATTAGGTTGGTACAGGTATGACCAGGGTGTTATGTCCGCTCTGCTAACAGCAAACCAGGTATGGTTCCTTCAGGCTCACGCTGTTCGCCTCTTAGTCGTTGCCCCCAGTTTGAGAAAGTATTCCCACAAACGGTGGTCCCGGCAGACGGCAGTAAGCCCGAGCATGCGACTCTTCAAAGCTTTCTTGTCGCTATATATGTTTGTAGTCCCGTCAAGGTATTGTCCACGGGTCAATACTGATGTTTGCGATGTTAGGAAATCGGCTGCCTTGTCGGCGCGTTATCAAACCTTTGGATAGGCGACCGGCTCGGTCGGCGAAAGACTATCGTTCTCGGTGGAATCATCATGATCATTGGAGCAATTCTTCAGGCCTCTTCGTATTCCTATGCACAAATGGTCGTAGCGCGGATTGTCACCGGTCTCGGAAATGGTCTAAACGTGCGTCTTTCCTACTTCAATCCGGGCAACAGAGTATCTGGAATCTCAATTTAGACTTCCACTGTTCCTTCGTACCATGCGGAGTGTTCACCCGCCGCGAAACGAGGAAGCTTCATTATGATTGAGGGTAGCTTGATTACTTTCGGCATCATGATCTCGTACGTCATTCCTCGCTTGCCGCTTCCACTATTGCACTAAGCACTTTTATAGATATGTAAGTCATATCAGCCTGCTGGTCACGTAATCTCGTCATTCATCAATTTCTTGCGGACTTGTAGTGGATAGACTTCGCATGGTGCGCGGCCCTTCATCTGCAATCTGTCGTCGCTAATCCTTTTGTAGCTTTTGGGCTCAGTCTTCGTCTGCCCAGTGGCGGGTACCCATAGCACTTCAGATCCTGTTTGCACTCGTTCTCATCGGCGGTATCACATTCGTGAGTATCTCGATACATACCGCCTTCGGGATGCTTGACTTACCTTGCGATTACAGCTTCCTGAGTCCCCCCGATGGTGCGCTTTCAGACCTAGAAATGCACGATGATGTCTGACTTTATTGCTTCTATATAGGCTCGTCAAGAACGGTCGCAATGCCGAGGCCCTTGCTGTCATCTCCGCGCTCGATGATAAACCCCCGTCAGACCCAGACGTGCAACGTACCTTCATTGGAATCCGTGAAGCTGTTGCTATGGAGGGCGGTGCCGGCAAGGCTTCGCTGCGGGAGCTCTTCCACAGAGGACCGAGCCAGAACTTCCGGCGTGCGGCCCTGGGAATCGTCAATCAGTGCTTCCAGCAAATCAGCGGTATCAACCTGATCACCTAGTAAGTCTTGGTTTTTCATCGCTCTGAAGATGATGCTGATAACTTTCTTACCAGCTATGCTGTGAGTACTTGTGGTGGTGTTCGCGTAGGCCAATAATTAACGAGTACTTTAAGACGCTGCTCTTCGAGAGACTGGGAATCAACGATAGGAACTCGCGTATCATCGCCGCATGCAACGGAACGGAGTACTTCATGGCCAGCCTGATCGCTATCTTCCTCATCGATCGCGTTGGGCGTCGCAAGCTCATGTTGTTCGGGTCAGTGGGACAGACCCTCACCATGGTCTTACTAGCTATCCTCGGTGCGATCGACAACTCTGCAACGCAAGTCGTGTCGGCGGTTCTGCTCTTTGTCTTCAACTCGTTCTTCGCCGTCGGCTGGCTGGGGATGACTTGGTTATACGTACGTCTTGAGTTCAATTATGCCCAGTAGGAGTACACTGACTTGTGACGTAGCCTGCCGAAATTGTGGGACTGAGGATCCGGGCTCCGGCGAACGCTCTAAGTACCGCATCCAACTGGATCTTCAACTTTGTTGTCGTGATGGTCACTGGACCTGCGTTCGACCATATCAAATGGCGGACTTATATCGGTTGGTAGATGGCATTGGTCTCTGACCCGAGGTTGATCGTCGGCTGATTGTTACTTATCCAGTTTTCGCCGCTTTGAACGCCTTCATTATACCCGTCGTGTACCTGTTCTTCCCCGAGACTGCTGGCCGCTCGCTGGAAGGTAAGCTTTGCAGTCATCATTGTACATGCTCGGTGTTGAAAGCCCGTTTCGTAGACATGGATGTTGTATTTGCCCTGGCCTACAGGGAAGGAGTATCCCCGGTTAAGGTCTCCTTGCGCAAGGACGTGCCTTTGGCTGGGTCACCCGAGGCGGACGAGATCCTAGGCCTGGCTCCCCAGGACCATCAGGGTAACGTTATTCGCCGACTTGAAGAAAAGAGACGCGCCGGAGACGCGTGAAAGAGATGAATCATAATTTATAGCCTCATGATCACGACTGATGGTAGAGATATACCATAGATCCTCGTGTAGCAGATAGTATATGCTGGAGCCCGATTGTATCAACATCGCTAGGTTTGCTGCTACCCATTCTTAACTGCCTATTGTCACTCTTGACTCCCGCCATCGTTGCCTCTCGATGTCTGCTTGCTCGTGACGCCATGCCGGGCCCCTGGGAAGGTCTGTACGATGTTTTCGATGTGAGGGCACTGGGCCTATCCTGTCGAGCGGGAAGATGATGTAGAATAACTTCGAGTCGATCAGAGCCAGCGGTACCTAGAAATGTGTCAGGGACTTTGTAGTGGTCCTTCCTGCAAATAATGTATAGATACGTACAGGACCGAATTTGTTACTGTCGTCTGAGTGGAAGCGCTCATCGCCTAATAATGACCTGGTACATGAAGTATAAAACAGGCGCAGCCCAGATCATACCTTCTATCCAAACGTGCCCCTCTGGAACGCGCACCTCCGCATCGGGGTAGGGCGGTAATGTCTTTACCTTCGAAACGGTCCATCATGCTGTCCTCAAGTGAAGTATCCACTCACGATATCCCCAGCCAAGGCGATTATCCTTTTCACGAATAATCTGTTCGGGTCCGAGGGTGACCTGTAGGCTGGATAAGCCGAGTGGGGCTGAGGTGTATCGTTACTCGTACCACACGGCGACAATGTCTCCCCTCTCATACTGAGGCATAACCTTTGCATGATACCGGTCGAATATAATGACGTCTTGCCATTCAGACGTGTTGGGATTTAACGTAGGCTGCCTGGGACTAGTATCACTTCTATCCAGCGGCGCAGTGCGGGCGTAAGTGGCGTACCTGCATGCTCGGTCCTTTGACTTGCTTGATTACGGCGAAGTACTCAGTAAACACTATGGCAGTCGGAAGCCAGAATAGAGAGTATAAAGATCGTCGGAGAATTGGACGGTCTTTCATCACTCGGGTCCAGGAAGTCCGGAACCCCTGCCATCGTCTTCGCAGAGCAGATGACGCCAACTTCAGCATTGACAAGTGCGACGCCGTCCTAAGCAGGTGGAAACTGCTAGTGATAGGGTGTTGATTACTCCTCGAAAAATGCTAAAGCTTGTAGCTTCCTTGCAATTTAGAAGTTGCATAGAAGTTCAAAACCTTGTCGAAGCCAGCGCGAGTTTGCGATCGAGATCTCAGATCTGGCTGGCATACGCCACCTCTGCTGTCACTGCAGTGTTACATACATTTCTCCAATGCGAGACTACGGATACAAAGTATACCCAATAGTACACTATTCCTCTTCCACTATCCTCAATACCTCTTCTACCTCACCAGCTTCGCTTCAACTTCCTCCTTCTCCTTCTCCTCCTGCTCGTCGTCGTCATCATCCACAAACCCCACAGGCGTGATGTACCATATCATCTCCTTCGAAAGAGCCAACCCCAGTGCATCAATATTCTCCAGAAGTGTGACACGCGTCTGCGCGCGGTTGTACGCAGCCGACTCCTGCAGACAGACCGAGTGAATAGAGCAGCCAGGACGAGAAGGATAAGGCTGACATTCATCGGGACAACGACAATTTGGTGCCCTCGCACACCCGCGACAACGTTCACTTGCCTCAGATCGTCGTCACTCACAGTAGGCGCCACGCGGCCTGCCATTACAATATTCAATATCAGGCCCGCCAACTCGTATCGATAGATTAAAGGGACTTACGGCCCGGCACTTGCTCCCCATCACGGATAGAGTGCTCTGGATGTGCAAAGGAAGCGTATTTCTTTCCCTCCAATAAGGGAATGCAATTGCTTAGAGGGTACCAAGTGTAGTCTTCCTGCGTATGAAGGAGTCAAGGATGATACGCAAGCTTATATATCGCAACACACGCACGGGATCAAGCAGGTAGGACGGGGAATACTCGCCCTTGTACCGCATCTTTTGACAAGAGTGGATGTAGAAGCCTGTGAACCATAAGTGAAATTGATCCGTCACTTGACGGCTAAAAGGACTCGCGCACATACCCATGTATAATGAATCAACCCCAGTGACGCCGGCGTCATTTATTTCTTTCGCGAGGGCCGTCTCCCGCATAGCGCTCAGCTTACCGAGCGAGTACTGCTCCCACTTCTTGTCGTACATGAAGTACACGCTGGACACACAGCCAGGAAGGATATCGATCACGCCCATGGCGATGAGCTCTCCGTCCACTCTGTACAGCTGATGATACGATCCGAAGGTGGGTGGGAGATGGGCAGGCGGCGTACTTGGATACGGCATTAGCTCGTGCTAGAGGAAGAAACAAGTATAGTAAGGACGTTAGTGCAGGAGCATGGCAATCTTACGTGCAGCGGCGACTCGACAAGGAAGCGCTTGAAACCAGACGGACGATTGTCGTCATCCAGATGTATTTCCTTTTGGTATTTCTCGTATAGAGCGTACTTCTCTTCACTGTATGCGGAGGGCTCTAGGATTACCTACACATAGTCATCCGTGAGCTGCGTAACTGGCGAAGGTAAGTGGCTCACTTCGAACTGGTGCGCGGGTTTCTCGCCGGTGTCTTTCACGAAGGAATACTCGGATGCGTGGATCGCCGACACGAGGGAGAATTCAGGCTGTTTCTTCGAGGTGCCTGTCCCTCCTCGCGACTTTGCAGACTATCTAGCACAAGAGGATCGGATGAGGTCCCGCCACAGCTTGGGCATAGACGCACGTTGTCCGTGTCCATTTTATCAGAAGTATTGCCCTCTAAAATAAACCGGTTCCATCTGAGTTGCGATGCATCCAGACATCAATGAAGGCGCATATCGAGTAGCACAATGACGAATCTACCGGTTGACAAGCTTTCGGTGGCTGCGGGACGGCTTGAACTGGAGAGCATCCAGCCTAAGCATTGTACTTTGTTACAATACCCTTCGGAGTCCCGCACCAAGAGACTCACTTGATGGTATATTGCGGGCAACACGAGCGCCTTAGATCGGGTTTGTAGCAGTACGTACCAGATCTCCTCCATCCCCTATCGATCATCTTCTGGTACGCCTACACGAGCACGTAGGCGGACAAGCTTCTACAGTTCACATTCGTACTTACATCGCAGGAAAGCCGCACCGCAATCAGACCCCCGTCTTTGTGGCTCGATGCTGTTAGGCTTCTGCCGCCCGGAGGTCCGCAATACCCGCATGAGCTTGCACGGGGAGACTTAGGCGTCACAATGGATTGTATGCTGGACATGTCGAGTAGGCTAGAATCAGCAAGGAACCTGCGCCTCTGACTTCGCGGATCCATTTGATTCCAAGTCGCGTGACGTCACGCGCGTTAACGCCATAACCGCGATTTACAGTGTAATTACAGTAAATCCAAAATCAATCCATTGATACAAGTATAAGCGGATGGTATGAGAGTACATGTGTGCAAGACGACAAGCAAGAGTGCATGATAGATGCCGATACCTGATGACCAAGAGCCGGAGCAATCAACCCCAGCCATCCCACCGACCGTACCGTCTGAATTCCTTCAAGGCACACTCGTGGCTCTCCTTGCCCTCTTTCTCCTTCTCTTTGCCCTTCTCAGTACGGCTGGAGAAGGACGAGCCGCTAGACGACCTAGGACGGTGCATGGATATCGACCTGGGAGGTGCTGCGGACGCAGAAACCCCAGACGAAGGCGAAGCCACAGACGCAGTCGATGCTGATCCTGACTTTGGTAGCGATAGACGGTACCAGCCACCAGAATAAGTGAGAGCCACTAGTTGGTGTTCTAGCGGGGCATCACGATCAGGACTAGGTCGATCAGATGGCACTTGTATCCACCCTACAACACATCTCTCCTCGTCAGCAACGTTCAACTTGGGCGCCCGAGAAGCCTGTGTCTCAATCGATGCGTGTGGCGACTGTGCTGGTAATCGATACTGCGCATAGGACCATTCAGAGCCAAAATAATTAGGAAGGGGGAGGAAAGGTGTGAGTGCGGAGAATGTCGACTGCCGGTTGCTGGGACAGAGGTCAGAATTACACGAGTATAGAAAGTATCCCAGCGACTCACGCTTGGCCTGAATTAGCCGTGATGGTGAAGACGTGCACTGTACCCTTGTCACTCCACACGCAAAGCTCTTTCTCATCAGGCCGAAATGCAACACCGTAGATCTCAGCCTTGTCTGTACCTCTCCGGAACTCCCGCACGAGCTTGCCGGTATGTGAGTCCCAGACCCGAACCAGCGTACCTTTGGACGATGTCGTTGCAAGCAGCCTGCCAGATGGTGGAACCGAGAGTGTACTTAGGGAACCGGTATGTGCGGCAACGATGGAGACTGGATGTTTGGTGGGTCTCGGTGGTGGCTTTGCCTGAGATGGTGCTGCATTGGCAGGTGGTGGACATGGAGGGAGATGAATGAGCTGTACATGCCCTGTCTGACGGCCGGGTATGGCTAGCAGGGTAGCACCTGTAGCTGCGGCCATTGCGACCAGACCTGAGCTGCCATGAGTCCCAGGTTCAACTATTGCGTATATCGTATTACTCACCTCTAGAGTTATCGCATGTATCCCACTCTCCGAATCTCGAAACGCGCTCCCCGACCTCGAACAGCACGACTCTCCTGCGCAATGCGACCGCTAGCCACCCTCTCCTGCACGCAAAGCCTCGCACTCGTTCCCTAAACTCAAGCTCCGCAACCTCTCTGCGTAAGGAATCATCCCATAGCACTACCTTGTTCGGAGGATATAACGGGCTACGTCCACCACCGAGCAGGAATAGCAGGTTCGAGGTATGCAGCGGAAGAACAGCGGCAAGGGTTCCCCCAGTCAGTTCTTGCAGATCTATGTCAAGAGACGAAGCTATCTCGTCCAGTTCGATTCACATACCTCGCTTCCGCAGGAGCGTTAGGGGGTAGGCGCGGTACACCGCGAAGCCCGCTGGTGTCGAGCAAGTAAACAGCCGATAGTCCGCATCGAAGCGTGCGTCTAGGATGCGGATGGGATTAGTCGCGGTTATGGAATGTCGTTGAAGATTCATTAGGTCGTGGAGCTAGATGGGTATCAAGGTGGATAAGGGCTATAGAGACGGCATGAAGTTCGTGTGCCTCTTTCCCCGAGCTGCAGTGCGCGGGTGGCTTGCAATTGAGTGCTGGAGCGGCACGCGATTCCGGATCCGACAACCGATAGCTCTGTCACGACTCAGGAACTAGACTCAGGATACTTGATTCAACTTCTAATTCTTGATGCATAGATGCAGTGATGACCACTAGTATACAAGCCACAGATGCACAGAAAACGCCCTATACCACCAAAGAAACGACGATTCAGAGCATCCTCCGTTTCGAGCCTCCAAGTTTCGTGAAAGAGAAAAGATGATAATAGTAAGCGATACATGAGCATTTGTTAGTCAATCGGCGTAGATGAAATACAGCATATAAATGAACACTTTCCATCGCTTCCCGCTGCCCCTCGTTAATTCCTCGTGCTTGGGCGCCGCTACTGTTTTGCGCTCGTGGGATTCCAGGACTTCGGCGGACGCAAGTCGACGTTGGCAAGCTGCAGCCTAGCTGTCTTGAACTCGAGCTCCTCCATCTGGTTCTGTGCAATCTGGGCAGCCTTGATCTCCGCCTGCCGCTGAATCTCCGCTTCGGAATCGTCAGAGAGATAGTCCGTGAACCCCTCGGAGGTCACTGTGCTCTCGCTCAAAGACCCGGAGCTCGCCGAACCACCGCTCTCGCTACTGGCGCTGTTGGGACCCTTTCGGGTAACCTTCATGCCAGTGAAGACCTCACTCAGGCTTGCCCTTCTATGGTTCTGAGGACGTCTGGAAAGCGAAGCTGTGTTGCTGGAGATCTCGGTGGATCGCGTTGGCGGGGAGGGCGATTTATTGGCTGCTGCCGTGGTATTGGCGGTGGAGGCACGACGACGTAGTGTAGGGTGAGGTGACTCTTCGGGTAGCAGGGGTTTCGCCATAGTGGGAGTTTGTAATGCTGCAGAAACAGACGGGCGGCGGGCGGAACCCCGTCGACCAACTGACCCATCCAGTTCCTTGGATTTAGAACCTGGAGACGAGTGTGCCTGCTCGCTGCGCTTCTCTCCGTGACGGTAATTCTCTCGTGGCTCCATTTGAGAGGGGGAAGACGAAATATGGAGTCCCATATTCCGAGAAAGACTGCCCGTCAGGGAAGACACTGTCTGTTTCGGGCTGCCGTTTGAACGGCTCTTGGGTGGTATGCCCATGGGTGCCGTCCTTATTGGAACGATAGTGGCCTTGACTGTTCCTCCACTGCTGCCACTGTTCTTCCTCTCCATAGAAGGCGCCGGAGGCGAATTGGGCGATCGCGGCGTGTTGATGGACTGGCTGTGGAGAGGGGGAGACCTAGTGGCTACAACTCTGTCCAATAATGCCTTAATTTCCGGTGGTATCGGGATGTTGTGAACAGAGCTGACAGCAAGCCAGTCTGCGGCAGGGACGAGCTTGTGTTCGCCCGCTCCAGGAGGTCGACAACATCCAGGCCACCCAGGATTCCTACTACCTGACAGCTGCGGTGGCGGGTTCCTTTCAGCCCACTACAGCAATGGCATCAGCGATCGCTCCAAGACAGGATGTAGATCGCTTGCCTTGCAGTATCCGCATCCATTGAACGTTTGGACTAGGGAGGGATGCGATTAGATAACCGTCAATTAACTCGCGGCTGATACTGACCCTCAGCGTTCTTCATATATATGACTTCGTGAGGGTGGGCGGCCTTATTTCTGCAGACATCTCGCTTGTGGGGGCATCTGAGGGCGCCATCGTGATGGATAAGCGCTAGCCCGCACAGAGTATTGCACAGCTGCTCACCTGGCGCTGCTAGGCCTGTAGACCTTGCACATCGGGCAAGTGCTGATCGCCTGCTCCAGAGAGCCTTGGACGACGCACATGGAGGGCCAGAGCGGGTGGATGGACGGGGACCCGGACAGTTAAATAGAGGGGCAGCTGGGGAGTGCTAAAAAGGGCATATAAAGCTGTTTGTACTGAGAAAGAACTCTTGTACTGAGAAGGCCCGCCCGGCATGTGGTTCCCCCTCTGGCTGATCGGTTCGGTTTAGGACGAGCATGGGGTTTCGACGATAAGCTGGACGGCGGCGGCAGAAACAGAATAAAACTGACGAGCTGGACGTGTCTGCGCTTATAAGCAGGTCTGCGCTGCCACGAGGATTGCGGATGTAAATACTCGCTCTTCCAGCCGTCCTCGAGGCAGCGTCCTTGTTGACTCCTCTATGAGCGGAAGCATCCCGGCGGGGAGATTACCGGCCTGATTATGATATCGGACGCAATTGACGCTCTGCACTGCACTGCCGTAACGCGTCTGCGCCCGCCGCTGTCTCACCTTCGTTTCCGCCGTCATCATGGGCAAGTCGCAGAGCAAACTCTCGCCCGAGCAGCTCGCAGACCTGCAGAAGAACACCTATTGTGAGTACCGCTCGTCGTCGCCGTGTTCTTCACGCGATTCATGGGCTCAGTCGATAAGAGAGAGCTCCAGCAATGGTGCGTGCTACCCGCGTTGTATTTGCATAGCAACTAACCCGCGCTCAGGTACAAGGGCTTCCTGAAAGACTGCCCGTCCGGCCAACTCGACAAGACTGAGTTTGGCCGAATCTACAAACAGTTCTTCCCTTTTGGAGACCCGGGGGAGTTTGCGGATTACGTTTTCAATGTTTTCGACGAGAACAAGAACGGAACGATCGACTTCAAGGAGTTTATTTGTGCGCTCAGTGTGACCAGTAGAGGGCGGTTGGACGAGAAACTTAAATGTGCGCCTATCACCCCATCGTAGGAGACCTGGCTCTGATCCTGTTCCACACCCAGGGGCGTTCCAACTATACGATATCGACGGGGACGGCTTTATTACATACCATGAGATGCTGCAGATTGTACAGTCCATTTACAAGATGACAGGGCAAATGGTGAAGCTCCCAGCTGATGAAGATACTCCAGAAAAGGTCAGATCGCCTCTGCTATGTGTGATCGCCACATCTGACACCGAAAAAAACTATAGCGCGTAGATAAGATCTTCAGGAATATGGACAGAGATAAAGATGCAAAACTAACGTACGACGAGTTTGTGGAAGGAAGTAAGCAGGACCCGACAATCGTTCAGGTGCGTTGCAGTTCCACTGCTCCCGAACCCATCGTTCATGGCATGCAATGCAGGCTCTGTCGCTTTATGACGGTCTGGTATAGTGCCATTCTCGGCTACGCCTTGTTTCTTGGTGAGTTTGTCCTCGTGTCAAAGTCGTGCTTACCTGTGGATCTGACGATGTGCAGGTGACTTGTATCTTTGTATCTCTACAGATAGACTATACGGCGGTGATATAGCACCCCAGTATTCGAAATATCTTACAACAGTACATGAATGATGTGGCGACCTCGGCGGCGTTCGGTGTTGGACTTCGTATGTAACTGTCGTACGTCGTCGCATGGACACTACCTCGCACTGTAACTTTATACCGGATAATATGTTAGTCTGTTGTGCAACCATCTATATCGTTCAGGCTGGCCCCAGCTGATGACCTATTTACTGCTACGACGATGGAGGGAATTTCCCATATCTTCTAAGCACCCTCTGTTCCACGTCCTTCCCTACCCAAGAGTACAACCCTTCGGCAAGCTCAAGATTATCCTTCTCCGCTATGAGTAGCTTGTTGTAATCCTGAGCTTGTCCCGGCGCTTGCGGGACCCCGGCCGCGAATGGAGTCGCCATATCACGCGCAGCGTCAGCAGCTAAGAACAGAGTCCGAGGACATCAGACGTCCAGAACGGAGCTAAGAAAATACCATCACCAACTGACCGTTATCTCCGCCAAGGATCAGGCGGTACAAGCCATTCAGACCGAAGAAGTTGAGGAAGTACCAGGACAGAGAAGAGACCCATCTGACGTCCATGTCGGGTGTTTCAATACCGCGCTGGAGCATAGACTTGAAGCCGAGGGTCAGAGGGAACGGTAACTTGACTACACCGTACCTCCAATCAGCAATGCACCAACACCGGCATCTGGACTTCCACTCACTAAGCACAAACCCTTGGAAGAAGAAATTTATCCATCCCATGATAACCATTTGCGGGACCATCATGACCATCTGAGTCTTCATTCCCGCCATCATACCGTCCATTGCATTTGGGTCAGAGAGGGGATTTGGGGGAGTCGAGGGCGCATCTCCCTGCGGAGGACCGTCCTTCAGATAGGTGCCGGCTGTGAAGGCTTGCGAGAGATTCTGAGATATAGACTTGTAGAACGACTCTGGCACGGGGGAGTTAGTGGATGTCGCACGTAATACCTGCGAATGAACCAGAGCACGCCTGATGTCGAGACCTTTGCATCGGCTGAGATCAGGACGGAGTATGGTGGCACTCACTGTTCCCGAATGGCAGCTCTGGACAGTTTTTTTGGTGGTGACTGCAGTAAAATGACAACATAATGACGCAGTATCCCAACCAATATCTGGAAACCGACATGAGCTTGAAGTAACTCTGCTGGCAGCGCAATTCATGACACGTACCATTACAAGGGTGATCGGGAAGAGTACCCAGTCCCGTATTTGGGGGTCGAGGTACAGCGACACTCTGCAAGCAAGACGGCAAACATGAATTAGAGAAGAGGTGGAATGCTAGAGGCAACGTACACATTTAAGTTGCTCAACATGGTTCGCGTTAGAGGTGCTTTGGACTTCGGAAGCTGTCCAAAGCGCGGGACCGACGCGCGCATCCCTCGCGTCTTGACTTAGACTAGATCGTCGTACGTCAAATGTTATACCGTGGCTGCCTGCTCGCAGTCCTCAATCTCCACGGCCCTGCATCTTTCATTAGACTAACGATCCCTTCAAAGTGCTTGTGGAAACATGGCTGGTATCCTCGCTCACTTGGAACTTCTCACGAACTCATCTGCTGAATCGGACGCTGATCGAAGGAGCGCGGAGGAATGGCTGAGGTCCGTGAGGATAAATTCGAAATATAGGTCAGCTGTTGACAACTTTGTCAAGTATTAGGAGCTCGGGTAAAGGTGAGGAGAACGCGTAAGGTGTGGTTGTTACCGTCGCCCAAGTGTATTCTAGGCAAGGCGAGGGAGAACGAAGGCGAGGTCGGAGAAGATCTCAGTCACGAAGAGCCATGGAACTCCATTGTAAATGTTCCTTCCGGCCAAAGTATCAAACCCTTCGGCTTGTCTCCACTGGCGCAATCCCTAGTTTCCCGTCTCCTGTCGTTAGTATTTCCACAGCTGAGCATGAAGCATGTTGAGTGAGAGGGTCTCACCTGTCTAGCAAAACCAATGCAGAGACAGTATCGCACTCTTTACACGCTATTCTGTCCTCCGGACGTCCAGATGATGCCATCTCAGAGGAACTAGTCGATCTCATTGGCTTCGACGACCTGGATCTAGCGACGGAAATATTGAGCAACCGTGCCGAGGTCACTGCTCTGGCAAGTGCCTTACTTCTCCAGAAAATAATGCTGGTGAATTAACGTTCTCTTATCAGCTCGCGAGCTTGACCGGCGAACCCATCAAAGGCATGCCTACGGAAGGGGAGAAGCATGGACGTGGTGAGTGTTCTATACTCACCGAACAATTAAACGCTGAAGTGCACCTCCCTTCAGCGAATGGCGTTGGTAATACAGATCTTTCGCCCGAGGCAGCTAGAATGCGGATGGAGTACCAATTGCAAGAGAATGCTGCTCGTCCATTATTCACTGGAACAGCGGTATGAAATGCCATACTCAGTGGATTTTCATATTATACTGATTGCCACATAGCACGATGCCCCAGAGGTGTTACCACATATATACACTTCTTCACCCATAGTCCAGAATAACATGTTATCCGACATGGGCAGCAAGTACCTCCTGCCTATGGGCACTGCGCGCTACGATCACGAGGTAGGTCCGCTCTGCCGGCATATAACCCGTCAATTAAATAGTCTCAGGAATACGAGGAAGTTATCATCCCCCCGGCCAAACCAGTGCCTCCTAATCGAAACGAGCGTCTCATACTCGTCAATGAGCTGGACGACCTTGCGCGAGGATCATTCCCTGTACGTAGACACCTTTCCTAACGAGCATATCCACCTCCTTATAGGTCTAACTGGTAGGGCTATAAATCTTTGAACAGAGTACAGTCCATCGTATATCCCACAGCGTACGGATCTAATGAGAATATGTTGATTTGCGGTAAGCTCTCTCTCTTCTTGCTCGTATACATAGCAGGACTAAGCTTAATCGCTTAGCTCCCACTGGTGCTGTTAGTATACCCTTGAACTCTCGTAGCACAGCCGCTCACATTAATCCTCTATACAGGGTAAAACGGATGTAGCCATGCTGACGATCTTACGTGTCCTCAGTCAACATCGTTCTAAGGACGCACACTCAAGATCTTTGGCTGCAACTATCGATGTGAAATCCTTCAAAATCATATATGTGTTAGTGATAACGATTGAGTGCTGACGTATATATTGACCTATCTGTTAGTGCTCCGATGAAAGCATTAGCAGCAGAGATTGTCCGGAAATTAGGGAGCCGTCTAAAATGGCTCTCCATTCGCGTACGAGAGTTGACAGGTGCGGTCATTGCCTTCAATAAGGCAACAATTATTGACACTCAGATAGGTGATATGCAGTTGACTAAGGCCGAAATAGAGGAAACGCAAATTATAGTGACCACTCCCGAAAAGTGGGACGTAGTCACCAGGAAGCCCACCGGCGAAGGGGAGCTTGTGACGGTACGCCTTGCCATAATATCAACATGCGACGACTTCGCCACTCACCCGAAATAGAGAGTCAAACTTCTCATCATTGACGAAGTTCATCTCTTAAATGAAGATCGTGGTGCAGTTATCGAGACTATTGTCGCCAGGACACTTCGGCAGGTCAGTGGCTCTTGGTCTACCATTCCTAGTACCATCCATAGCTGCCCACAACAGGTAGAGTCTAGTCAATCCGTGATTCGTATCGTAGGCCTCAGTGCAACCCTTCCCAACTATATCGACGTTGCGGATTTTCTAAGGTTAGTTGAAGCACCTATAACGGAAGTTTCCCTGCTGACTCATGCGCAAACCCAGTGTTTCCAGATACACCGGCCTATTCTATTTCGATTCGTCTTTCCGCCCTGTTCCCTTAGAACAACATTTCATAGGCGTCAAGGGCAGGCCCAACAGCCCGCAGTCAAAGAAAAATCTAGATAGAGTGACTTACGAGAAAGTATCTGAGTTGGTGAGGCAAGGTCACCAAGTCATGGTCTTCGTTCATGCCCGGAAAGAAACCGTCAAGACTGCACAGGCTTTACGTGAAGCGGCTTTAGCTGATGGCACTCTCGATGAGTTCAGGTGTGAGGATCATCCTCAGTGGTCTTTCTTTCGTAGGGATATCGGCGGATCGAGAAATAAAGAGATGAAACAACTATTTGATGATGGCTTTGGCATCCACCACGCCGGCATGCTTCGTTCGGATCGAAATATGGTGGAGCGAATGTTCGGTGACAGAGGCATCAAGGTTGTGATGGCTATGTATCCCACTTTGTCCTAAGCTCACTCGTTGACAGGTTCTATGTTGTACAGCAACACTCGCATGGGGTGTCAACCTGCCAGCTCATGCTGGTAAGTACTTTCTAGTGGATACAACCATTGGCTCACCAAACTTGCAGTCATCATAAAGGGCACTCAAGTATATGACAGCTCTAAAGGTTCTTTCGTCGACTTATCAGTGCTGGATGTCCTCCAAGTCTTCGGTCGTGCCGGTAGGCCTGGGCTAGAGAGCAGTGGAGAAGGCTACATATTTACCACCGAGGATAAGCTAACGCATTATCTGGATGCTGTGACCTCCCAGGTAAGCAATTTACTGTTCGAGTGACTCTGCGAATCTCCTCTCAACATGACTTCGCGGTCAGAACCCAATCGAATCTAAGTATGTGTCTGGCATAGGGCGCCGCCATTTACTAATCTTGGTGTCAGATTCGTTGGAGGCTTGATAGACGCCCTAAATGCAGAAATCGCTTTGGGCACCGTTGCGAACGTCCCAGACGGCGTGCGATGGCTCGGTTACACATATCTATTTGTCCGGATGCGCAAGAATCCGTTCCAGTATGGTGGGTTATCCACACTCATGTTGTTCAAAGCCTTACCCCTTCCGTCTTAGGCCTTTCTCGCGAGGAACCTAGTGAAGACCCTCAACTGGGGAGTAAACGCGCGCAACTCATAACCTTCGCGGCCCAACAACTTGTTGAAGCTCGGATGATTAATTTCGATAGACCGCGGGAAACTTTGACTATAACCGATATCGGCCGTATAGCAGCAAAATACTATATTCGGCATTCTTCAATTATGATCTTCAACAAGGAGTTCAGACCGAAGATGACAGAAGCCGATGTTTTGGCAATGTTGAGTATGAGTACTGAGGTCCGCACTGTTATCAGGTAGTTTAATGCAATAGTTGACGGCTTCGCAGTTCGACCAGATGCAAGTTCGCGAATCGGAACAAAAGGAGCTAGAGGAGCTGATGTCTCAAGCACCCTGTGCAGTTAAGGCAAGTCTATGTCATAGATCGTCTGCTATGTCTGGTTGAAACCTTCTGATCCAGGGTGGCACCGAAAATAGCCATGGTAAAGTAAACATTCTTCTCCAGGGGTATATATCCGGAGCGAGGGTCGAGGACTTCGCGCTCGTATCCGACACCGCTTATGTCGCCCAAAATGCGGGGCGGATTGTTCGTGCCCTACTGGAGATTGCCATCAGTCGGAAGTGGGCTAATGCCAGTACTGTCCTGATGGGCATGAGTAAGGCGATCGAGAAAAGGATGTGGCCGTATGAACATCCTCTGAAGCAGTTTTCGCTCAAGCTCGATGTTCTCTATAACCTGGAGCGCTGGGCAGACAACTACACCGTGTCAGACCTATCCTCGATGTCTGCGGCGGATTTGGGAAAATTCATACACCTTAATGAACATCATGGCTCTGCCGTCCTGGAGGCTGCAAAACAATTCCCTACCGCGGAGATCGAGTACGAACTTCGGCCCTTGGGCTCTGACGTGCTGAAGATTGCGCTGCACATCAAAAGGACGTTCAACTGGAGCTCGAAACTTCACGGCGCCGTGGAACCATTTTGGATATGGATCGAAGACCACGAAGGGCTGACTATTTTGCAGATGGCGCATCTCCTGTTCAGACAAACTACCAAGGTTTTGGATGCCGAATTCGTCATATCCCTACCCGGCGGCACGGTCCCGCCTTCCCTGACTATACGATTCGTCTCTGATAGGTGGATGGGAGCTGAGGAAGAAATTTCCGTTCCATTGGATAGCCTCGTGATGCCGAGGGCTCCCCAGAGCTACACACCCCGCTTGGACTTACCCTTTCTTACTTTGTCCGTGCTACACCACCCTGCCCTCGAAGACCTACTCTCCTCCAGATTACGGGCCTTCAATGCAATCCAGACCCAGGTCTTCTGGACAACAATCCGGACAAGGTCTGCTTGTATGGTATGTGGCCCTGCCGCGTGTGGCAAGAGTACTCTTTCGCAGATCCTCTCCTGGTCAGTTACTCGTGTACCATGTCTTTCTTGGGTCTAACACTGGATATTGGTCAGGACGACGCTTAATGACTCTGATGATATTGGGTGGGTCCTTATGGTGACACCTCGGCGTAGTTCCGCTTTGGAACTCATCTCAGAGATGAGACCGATATCAAGGGTCCTTGGTATATCCATGGAGCTATCTACGGACCAGACCATGTTCAGTCCTGTGAAAAGCAAGACGGTCAGGTTCACCCCCGCTTCCCACCTACTGGCAGCCCTTGCAGGCCGCAATACTAGCCGTGCTTTGTCAACCCTGAAGCTCGTGATATGTGACAATCTCCAGCAGTTGGACTCTACGTATGAATTGGCAATTTCGCTGCTACGGTATTCCGCCCAGAATTATTCCGTCCGTTTCGTTGGTTTCGCCAATTCTCTTAACGACCCAACGGACCTTGCTGCATGGTTTGACGTGAACCCATTGGCACTGTACGACTTCAAGCCCATTGACAGTGATCAGTCGCTGCATGTGTCTACGCAAACGTTCACGATCCCCCATTCTGCCGCACTTCTGAAGGCTATGGCCAAGCCGGCCTACACTGCCATACGCGGCGGTTCTCCTGACGGACCTGCCATTGTGTTCGTCCCGAGCCGTGGTCAATGTCGTATGGTAGCATTGGATCTTATCACCCAGTGTGCACTCGGTACCGGTACGATCTCAGGATACCTTCCACCTGGTTTCCCCTCGATCCATATCGAAGAGATATGCCTTCGCTTGCAGGATGCGAGTCTTGCGGATATCATTAGGAGTGGGGTCGGAATTTTCCACGATGGTGTTACTAGGTCTGACCGTGCACTGATGGTTGACCTATACGCGGACGGAATCATCAACGTGCTGATTGTCCCCCGGGAGGCATGTTGGACCTTACCTATCCGGGCTTCCGTGGTGGTTGTAATGGGAACACAGTATCTGGCTTCACAACCCGATGGCGATGAGCGGCAGCTCCGAGAGTATGGCCTGGACGAGCTGGTGCGCATGCAAGGCCGTGCCGTGCAACACGGTGGTTCCGGTCATTTCCACCTCTTTTGCCAAGCCGAAAGCAAGGATACCTACGTGCGCCTATTAGAAGACGGTCTTCCACTGGAGTCCAAGTTATTGGATACGTCCCTGTTCTCAGACTGGTACAAGGATAGACGAAAGCAGAACTCTATCTCGAACAAACAAGACGCGATGGATGTCCTCTCATGGACGTATCTTGCGCGTAGGATAGCCAGTAACCCTGCGTATTATGACGTCGAGCAGGAACCCATAGAGCAAACTCTGACCCGCATAGTAGATGTATTGGACGAAGAATGTAACTGATTCATGATACAAGCACTTGCCTGACATTCTTATGGGATGGCACATACTGGTACTAGTAATTATGTTAGCCTACGAGGCGAATATTGATAACGTATGCATGCAGCGATACCGGACGATCTACCGGCACTTAGTTGACGTAGTTTTTGAGTTTTTGAAGACGTTCGCCTGCTTGTCGCAACGTCTCTAAGTCCTTGCAGAAACCGAATCGAGCATATTTCTCTCCAATGCTGGTGTGCTCATGGCAGTAGAACTGCGCCCGCGTCAGGAGGCAGAGATGAGGGAGAAATATGGACACAGTACCTCGCTGACGGGTATTGAGGACACACCGATCTCGCAGGCAATGAACCAGCATGCTCTACAACAATGTGAGTTTACGACAGCAAAATACGTATTGAGTACGCACTTGAAATCTCTGCCACGACCGTCCAGCATTGCAGGGAACGGATAGTCGTCTGGAATCTTTAATGTAGAGATGTCCTACAAAGACATAGAATGAGTTTAGTCAGAGATCCTCACAGGAAAGCTGGACTGGGCAGCTTACGAGTAATATGAAGTAGCTCCCGTGAGGAAGAGTGTACTTCATGCCCAGTCGGTCGAACGCGTCCAGCAGTACTGCGCGACGTTCCTCATACTCCTTAACCTGAGTCTCGAAGTATTTTCTTTCACGAGCCTGCTCGAGGCCGACAGCAGCAGCCTCTTGCATTGGTGAATTTGAGCTGAAGACGATACGCGTGCAAGCAGCCAGAGTGGGTCGGATAAGGGAGGGAGGACCAATCACCCAGCCTACGCGCCAACCAGTAGCAGCAAAGGCCTCTGCAAGATGACTCCAATGAATATCGCAAATAATTCGCCGGAATGGGACTCACTCCCAGCCGATCCAACTGTCACTGTACGCTCCCACATACCCGGAAGAGTCGCGATCCGAACGTGCTCCTTATCATCGTAGACAAGGCAGTCATACTGTAGGGGATCTGGAGTGAGATTGACAACTTCGGGATATCGCGAGTAACTCACGACTTCGTCGGCCATGACGAGGAGATTGAACTCTTCCGCAAGAGCTGCGATCTTCTCGAGTTCTTGCCTCGAGAACACCTTCCCTACCGGATTGTGCGGCGTGTTTATTATAATCATCTTGGAACGGGGCGTGATAGCTCGCCTACGAGACAATCAGTGAGCAAGAATTCATGTAACTTGTGGGGATACCTACCGTAACTCGTCATAATCTACCGTCCAGTCGTCGCCTGTCAGACGCCCTGGCTTATCCGCCGGGTGTAAAGGTACATATACCGGCTTTCCGCCGTTGAACGTCACCGAGGGGAGGTATTGATCGAAGAAAGGCTCAAACATGATGACTTCATCGCCCTCTTCCAGGAATGCTGTGAAGACAGAGTACTGTCCTACGGATGGTATGTTACTTGGAAATCAGCAATCACAGCGGATGGATTTACCTTCATTTGCACCACTAGAGACCTGGATTTCGGTCTCGACGTCTAATTCCCTTCCAAACGAAGGGCCGTAGTGTTTAGCTATGGCTTCCCGCAGGCGTAGTCGTCCTTTCGGGTGGGAATAATGGTTAGGGGCAATGTCCCTCAGAGCTCCTTCTGCAGCTTCGATCACATACTTCGGAGGGCCGAAGTTCATATAACCCTGCCCGAGGTTGATGCAATCCGCTGGAAGATTAGCGGCGCTGTCAAATGGTAAGTGGTGGGTAATGCTTTATAGTCTTGGCTTACGCACTTGTAGATAGACCAAACATCTGTGGCCAAAGCACGACCCGTGAACAATCGTGAGGAGAACGGGATCAGATTCGATCGATCTTTGCTTTGGGCTGGTACTGTCTTGTGACTGTCTACATTGGCGGATCCACTGCGCGCAGCTTCATCCGTGCTATTCAGGCCGTTCGTCGCACTAAGGCCATTTGTGTTCTTCAGCCCATTAGCAGGTGCCCCACCGTGTACGGATCGCCCTTGCTGGGCAGTCGGGATCGGCATACTTGAGAGAGTACGAAGGCCCAGTGGCAGGCAGGGTTTATGTACCCGTAGATATCCGCGAAACGCGGCGGAGAGAGGAAGACTTAGTAAATTGGTAGAAGTGAGTCAGGACCATTATTGATGTATATATTGCCCGCCAGGCATCCCAAATTACACCAGAGTGGCGGTTACAAGGCAATTCACTCACGTGACGCGGGACATTGCCCTCAGTCCGCTACCGATAAAGCCGAATCCTATCCTCAGGGCTGGCCCCGTGCTCCCCAGTCTGTCAGGTTCGTTAACCCGCTTTCCCCTGAGTCCTGTAACAGCGGAGCAATGGGAGTACGGGTACGGGTAGTATGCTCTGACAGAGTGATGCTCACCTGGAAGCTTGAGTTTATAACTAAACAGCGCGTTCTCACGATCCCTGTATTCCGGGGTCGGACCACAAAGCCGCTGCTGCCTTTTGGAATGCCGATTCAGAATTTGAAGGGACTCCATTCCGTGGATGGATCATGTCAGTCGTACGCGCTTCAACAACGGCCGGACTGTGACTACCGTAGATTGCCGTCGTCTCCGATAAATTGCATGTAGGAGAGACACCCAGCTGGGGTCGAGACACGAAAGCTCAGAGGGGTTATCTATGCTCATTATACCAGCAGACGAAGCAGCGGTGGATACACAGACAAAACAGACTGCAGTAACATGAGCAACACACGACCTACTTATTTATATCGAGGGACCGAGTTTAATATTACCTTGCGACCAGCAAGGTATCTCGCGCTGCGGGAATGCGTTCACTGTTTACATGTCTTTTGACTTGTTTGTATCTGTTGACTAGCCACTCAAGGCAACGATTGCGCTTTCCTCAACATACGAGAGAGTCCGAGGCATATCTGATCGTCTGGGCTCGCTACATGGTCGACGTCGTCGTATAAGACGTCGCTGGTTCGCTTCGGTCTCATCCTACGTTCGTCGCATGTCTGATGCTAATGATCGACTCTGGCCGATGCTATAGTGTGGTATGTTATGGTGCTCTTTTGATGTCCCTAGCTGACTTGTCCTTCGCCAACACAAGCACCTGTTCATTTCTGGCGCCTTTGGCGACTCAGATCTCAGACCCAGTGAAAACGTGCAGAATTTCCTTGAAATTAGAACCTATTAGTATATTTGCATGTATTTGCCTAACATTATTTCCGGCCACCTCGATGACGAAAGTCGCGCGCGACTTCGATTGTGTACCACAGCCCATCGAATGCATACGCAAGACAGACTTGAACGCACGACCGTGACGCTCGCAATACGTCCTGGATGGACTGACAGCTCGGACACTTGTCCGCGGCGCGTCTGTGCATCTACCTTGAGTCTTGCTTTGGCTAGCCGGTGTGCGCTTTCAATTTGTTTTCAACTACCTGTCTCTCTAGTGGAATGGCTGGCTCTGGTAAACATGGCAATGGCACTACCAATAAATCTGGGCGCATATGTGGCTGTCAAGAAGGCTGCAAGGGGAGCAAGAGACTCATATCAGAGGAGACATCTGGGCGACATGCTCTGTTCCGCAAATCGGCGCAAGGTGACCAGATAAGCCGCCTCCTTGCAAAACATATACCGGAGACATCTACCAGACAAGATGCTGAGCCGAGTCAGCAACTTCCGCCTGCCAAAAGGCGAAAGCACTCGAGCCAGCAGGCATCAGTATGTCACCGGATTCTGTTTAGCATCTACCATCTAACAATAAGATGATTGGCCCATAGCCGCCCAGAAGCAGACCACCATCAGTCCCTTCTGGTACAGCCGCAAGTACTGCATCTATCCCGGTGCACTCAGGTAACTTTTTGGACCCCCGCGCTGCTGGTGGTTCTGCTGCATCTGCTACTCGTGGCCCTGAACAAGATGATGTTGCTCCTATGGACATCGAGATGGATGATTCTCGGGAAGGGCTGTCTGGAGAGGCTGGAGGGACTCCAGGCTCTCAGGCTGCCGGTTTGAATATACCTGCCACTCCCCGTCCTTACGTTGAAGATGTACCGGATGAAGGGGACCAACCTGCCAAGGCACAGGTGCGCCCAACAACCGGTCATATTACTCATCTGATCTAACTACTGGAGGGCAAGCTGCCGCCGTCAAAACGGAGGAAGAAGGATGACAGCGCTGATGCTGGGATCATCGATTCTTGGTGGGTTCTTCCGCTATATTATGAGATGGCACTAACAGCATGTCACAGAGATTGCAATGTGGTGTCGTACTGTCTCAGTAGGGTGTGTGGGCAACGGGTGTGCAGGCGATGGGGATGCGGGGGTGCGGGAGGGGCGGGAGAACAGGAAAATAGAATGAAATATGTTATAAAATGCGGGTAAATCATGTAAATACGGTGGCGAGTAGAAGGTAGAGGGAAAATGGAAGTAAATACACCAGAATGCCAATAAATTCCTAGAGAAATGTGGAGGGCTACCGCGGGGACAATAAATACCATAATCGGAATGCACTGCTGCTGTCCCTGTGTACAGTGACGGTCAAAAATCTTTCCCACCCCAAAAAAGGCAAGTCGACCTAACTGCCTCTCCTCACTTTGATTTTTTGTGCATATCATCTTGACCTTACTTGAATACAATATATCAGTTACAAGGGTAAAATTCACTGTGAAGTGAACTAGCAAAACCCCTCCGGAGAGGCCTTGCGCATGCCACAGTGGCATTGCGCAACTAGGGATGGGAATCAATTCCCATATATGGGGTGGGAAAGTTTTTTGACCGTCACTGTATCACGACTGGTCGCAAGGTATACCACCGGCGACAGCCAGCGCTTCTTGAGTGTACGTAAAAGCATTCGGTATGCCAGGCTCCTAGAACCATCCATCTCGCGTCCTCGATCCTCTCTGTTAGGGCGTGTGTGAAGATGTTATCTAATATGGCTTATATGATGTGAATTATTTATAGCTGGGTTTCCTGATGAAGCCAAACAGTGAGGATGAGGACACTATGAGACAGCTGGCGCAACTCGTCGTCCGAGGTTTCACCGGAATTATGTAAGGTAGCTAAGCGACTAACGATGTATCGGTTTACTGTTGGTTTATTGACGTTCGTCGACTGCTGATTTGGATTGAGGCTTGCTCTTCAAGCATGTCCTCTGCTCATCCGCGCATTGACGGCGTCGTGGACTTAAAGATGTCCATATCAGAGTAGTGCTATATCTGTATTATTGATGACATGCACGTTCACCAACTGCACTGGGAACATCCCAATTCAACAAACAAAACATTGAATGACTATTTACCACAACAGTCTAGATAGGCAAGCTGCTCTGGTCTCTCTCTTTCTCTTTGCATACCAAAGCCAAAGGAGACTAACTACACACACAATATTATAAGGTCTCAGGCTACTCTGCAATGAAGAACTTGGTGCTTGGACTTGGCATTGTATGTAAATTAATCTATTCATTGAAAATATAGCAACAGACCCCTAGACACTCGTGCATTATTGTTTCACTATCTCAGAAATTGGCTTGCTTTATTACCATCAGATTTTATCCCCGTCCCCCTGCCGTCAATGTGCAGACAAGCAGAGGACATGCTCAAAGAGCAAGCCTCAATCTGAATCAGGCAGTCGACGAACGTCAATAAACCAACAGTAAACCGATGTGTCGTTAGTTGCTTAGCTACCATAACTACAGTCCCGGACAACCAAAGACAACAAATTCGGTGACCGGATTTCCTGAGGTCCAGCAGCCGTGGGAACCCCAATTTTATTGCAGAAACGAGTGATTTAGACTCTAAAGAAGAGATTGGCACGAGCCGATTTCCCATAAACACCCTGTAGCCTTCAATAATGGGTCGGGATGGGCCAAAATTTTGGCCGTATACAAAACAAATCGGGAAAACTGCGGAAAATATGCCAATCGACTCCTTTCAATGAGCTGAGTCTGATTCTGGCTTAAATATAATAATTGGACCAGCTGATATGCCATAATAGCTCTCATAAGTTCAGGCCAAATATGGCAGTCAAGGTAACATGTGCAATAAATTTGAACTTCCTTGTCAGTGGGCGGCCTCAGAAGGAGGTCTGAAGTATTCGAAAGCCTAGATCCAGCTCCATGCAAGGGTTACAGGTCCCCAAAGGCTCAGGGCATGACCTGGGAGGTCCAGTGACTGTGTAGAATGTCGTTGAAATGGCCCAAAATTTTGGCCGTATCAAAAAGTCGTGGGAAAAATAGGGGGACCTCATTTTTGGATGTTTCCAGCCTCCCTGAGTCCGAATCTGAAGTCGGTTTCCCGCCAAAAAATCTCGTTCGATCAGAAATCAATTTGTTGCCTTTGCTTGTCCGGGACTGTAAGCTGACAGGTGAAATATGAAGGACGTAGGTACTTAACTTAGCAACATGGAAGATAAGTTGGGATATGTCAGTCGCATTGGCTATCTTACACACAACTAGACGTGCACAGGTACAGCTATTTCCACCAGCACCTGCTGGTCATCTAACGTTTGGAAAGCTCGAGGGATAGCTAAGGTACCTCAGTTATCCTAGCTATCTATGTGTCGAGCTAATTTGCAACAAACACAGTGACTCAGGATGTGGCAGTGAAACTACCTCAGTTCCGGTGAGCACAGGTGCACCTGTAAAACATACCCAGTTCTCTCTCATGTCTTTTCACCTATCTAAATGGTTGTTTACATACTATGAGTGCAAGAAACACAGTTGTACCTTGGATGCGTGAATTTGGTACATGACAAAGTCACGAGACCGTGACCTCAGTGTGACCTATGATGGAAGCAATAGCTCTTGATCAAAGAAGAAAGTCGACCCCACTGGGAGGTCACACTGCTGAACGTGTTCGGGAACTGCAAATGCGAACGTGAGAACCACACCATGGTGCACGTGGGCGCGTGTCAATTCTGTGGCTCTGTCCACCGGCCACAGACGCGTACCTAGTGATGCCGCGGTCTGGCTTGGTCTGGTTTATTGGCCCAAATTTGCAAACCTGGGACCGGACCCAAGGTCCAGTTCGGGTAAATGTCCGGACTGTGAACCTCAAAGAACCCGAAATGACATTGGGTCCGGTCAGGTTGGGGTTTGAACCCTTCAAAATTAACATATTTAGGTACAGTTCGGGCATTGTGGCTCCACCTGGACCTCATTTCAGGTTTGGTCCACCCCAAAGCCGGACCGCGGTGATATGCACAGACACACAACAATCACCAAGGACCAAAAGAAATAAACCTAACACCAGCAGTATGGGTGGAGGCGGTCTGAGACAACTGTGGGGTATTTTAATAGTTCAAGGGGGAAGGAGGAGTAAGATGACGTAGGGTAGTCCATAGGAAGACCTAGAAAATAAAACAAACACTTTGACGCCTGAAACAAATGCTAGTTGATGCTCCGGAGTATTTATGTCCGAAAAGTCGCAATCAAAGTTGCAAGCAACGACACCTGTCGTAGGATCATGCCCACGGGGGTAGAAATTGCTAGAGAGACTTGGTTAATTTTATTTCGCTATGGTTGGACTCACCGGAGATAATTAAATTGATGGCAGAGATAAATCACTCGATGAGTCAGGCCTATTGGCAAAGCTAGGACCGGTTATAATTTGCTAAGTTCGATGCTTTCAAACTTCGAGGGTTGCTGAGATCGTAACACTAATTCTCTGAGATGGTGAAGTGCAAAACTTGTTTTTCTGTATGCTACTTTGTGCAATTTATACTACAGGAATGGCTTTGCAACCGTGAGAAGATAAATACCAAATAAACGCCGCTACCCACAGGATTGCTCAGCGCTTGCTGCCGTTATACCATGCACCATATGACTCCCTTGCACTCCCACTTGCTCGTCCCAGCCCCTAGAGTTCGCCTCGACGCTCCGCCACCTGCCCTAAGCGGTCCCATCACTCCGTGCGATGCGCCGCTCACTGACTGATGCTGACCTCATGGTGACTCGTATACGTCTGCACCTTCGGTATTTTGATGGAAACGAGGGGGAGTGAGTGTTGGAGGTTGGGCATGAGGACGACACCCCTTGATAGAAGTGTCTGCAGGCCCCGGAGCTAATTCATCTAGCAGTCACATTGGTTAAGTCGCTCTGGAGCTCCTGTTCGCAGAGATAAATCGCAGAATGGGTCCGTGTACGCCTCGAGGATGCTAGGAAGTCCGGAGCTAAAATAGAGCAATTCTTTAGAGCCCATAGAAGCCTAGAGGTGTGTGAGTGCTGTGTTGAATAAGTTCCGGAGGGCTTGTACAATGCGCTGAGTCCGCGTTTTCGGGGGTCAGACAATCCTGAGGCTTATCACCGGTCTGAGGTTCGAACCGGTTCTCCCAGGTTGGGGAACTGGACTGTGGCATCACTACGTGTACCCCTCCTGCTTATGGTATAAGGCAGTAGGGCCGTGCGAGCATGGCAGAGCCCGCTACCATAGATATAGGTGATATTTGGTAGCAAGCTGAACACTTTACCTCCTGAGCAGTGTCAAATATATCTATTTTGCGAAAGCAGCTGTGTTCCAGCAATTATTTTTGACTGAGCATTCAACTCAATGGCCTAGGGTCCTGAGAGATGTCCACTCATCCCTCCCTCAGGTTTCGAGAATACAAGTTACATATGCAAAACAACTGACATCGGAGTATTCTGATTTCACCTTGAGACCGCAAGGTCCAAGGCCCCAAGCAAGGTCAGTTCTGTCTCTGAGTCCCTTGACAATCATCCGCCACCTTGGCTATAAAGGGGAAGAGAAATGACACGTGGCATGACTATCGGGGTCCTTTAAGGACCCCACCTTTGATTGGTCCAAAGCCTGTCCCACTCTTGCCGTTCACCATATACGGTTAAGCGCCAAATAGTGTCAAATAAATTGCATAGATCTTGAAATGATCGCAGGAAACCTGTGAACTGCCGGGGGGTCCAAGACCCACTACCTATGGTAGTGGGAAAAATCTGCATAGCTTGAGGGTTTTAACTTGTAAGTTTATTGTATCAGTCTGTGAGATTGAAATTTCTGGGTAATTGTAAAAAAATGTGGTGAGTAATCGAAGCTGTCTGTCCAATTGGGGTCACACGAACCCATTGAAGCCCCTTCCGTGCCCTCCCCCTAACGGTTTCCATGGTCAATACTACTGGCATTGCATTGGAAATGTGATGCCTCCACAGATGCCCTGTATACATATAATTAGTCATTGGGCATGAACAACTTGAAATTCATGGAAATTACTCTATTCATGTCATCAATATCCCTGGTATGGTACAATAATATGTGCATAACAAACTGTATTTTAT